GGGGTGGTCGAGAACATTTTTACAAAAATGCACAATGTGTATCGCTCCGCTCCGCTCGGCTTTGACCTTAGCTCATCATTGTGGGCGCTGACCCTACCCTTTGTGGCGCATTAGAGTTGTGATTAGTCGACACCATGTCATCTACTGCTACGTTCAACCCGTTCCTGGATCCCTGCTATGACGAGTCCTGGGGATGCACTTTCAACAGTATGTCCCCTTACATGTGGTAAGTTTATAGAGTGTTCAACTGCAGCTAAAGTTGATGAATGTTTTTGCATGCTGGGAATAATGGTGAAATGATGATCAGTCTGTCAGGGCTAATCTCGGTATTACCTTTTCTTTGGCATTCTCCGTTATCGGTGCTGCCTGGGGTATCTTCCTCACCGGTTCCTCATTGGTTGGTGCTGCTGTTCGTGCTCCTAGGATTAAGTAATATATGGGGATCTTGAGGTCGAACATGCGGTAATGTTTTCACTTGATTCTATTGCAGGTCTAAGAATCTTGTGTCTATTATCTTCTGTGAGGCTGTCGCTATCTATGGTGTTATTATGAGTATCATCATGAATTCCAAGATGGAGGGTGCTAGAGAATTCGTTCCCCCAGCTATCCCCACTGGTAAGTCCCTGCCATTTTCCATTACTGCCTCGTCATTGTCTAACAGGTAACATGGCTGTTGCCCAGGCTGCTGGATACTGCCTCTTCGCATGCGGTCTCTCTGTTGGTTTCTCTAACCTCTTCTGTGGTGTCTGTGTCGGTGTCTCTGGTTCCGGCTGTGCTCTTGGTGATGCTCAGAAGCCCGAGTTGTTCGTCAAGATGCTCGTTGTTGAGATCTTCGGCAGTGCCCTCGGTCTTTTCGGTATCATTGTTGGTATCATCCAGGCTGGCCAGGGAACTTTCCCTAAGGACATCACTCCCCAGATCCCCATGTAAAGAAGGAGCATCCTCATGATGATGATGGTGATGCTCGTTACTGATAAACCGGTAGTGGCTTGAGTGGTTGTCTTCGATCCGTTGCTGATAGTCTCAATAGTTGTTAAGACTCGTGGCATATTCAGTTGTGAAGTCCTTAAAGCTTCAGTAGTTAGTGGCTGCTGCTCTTCCGTACATCGA